GAGGATGGAAACACTGACCAGCATGGGCTCAGGGTATTAGAGGCCCCTTATCTATGTGTGTCCATGGGTGTGTGTGAATGCTTATCTATGTACTGTATGTGTACTGTTCACATACAGTAAATATTTCTGCATATTTTTCCCAGTGAGAATGTATATCTGTATTTAGGTGTGTGTGTTGAAAAGAGACCGTGGTTGAGTGGTTGTGTGTGGGAGATGTGCTTTGTGCACTGTCACTTCAGCATCGCATGCCACAGGGTTTAACTTGTCTGTCAACACTGTTCTGACTTCAGAAAGGGAGAGAAAGAAAGCAGAGGAGACAGGCGAGGCAGAGGAGGGTGGGTAGGTAAAGGGAAGGAAGGTTCAGGGGGAGGAAGAGGAGAAGAGAGCGCTGATTCTTAAGAGACACGTGAGAAATGAAAGTGGGAGATGGGGCGTGATGGAACGGAGGTGGATGTGAGGAAGAGGAAGGGGGAGAGGCTCTCAGAGGTTACAGAAAAAAAAATTAAAGTTATGCAGATGTGCATTTTGAGGTATGCTCACTTAAAAAGTCCCCAAATGATTATTTTCAGTCTGTGATGTGTTCTGTGCCCTGAAGGCACCCTAATGACACACATGATGGCTGGGTGGGTCAACGACTCACATGTGACCTTAGCGACTCTGCAAGGACGCAAATCCACACAAATTAAAGCCTGCTACTTTATACCAGTCCGTTAGAATAGAAGAAACCTCTTGGATGGGAGGTGAGATATCTTAAAGAATCTCAAGCAAGTCCAGTTGCCTACGATATAGCACTTAAGATTACCAAATAGTGTTAATTTTAATTTTGTTTACCAAAACTATGACTAAATAGCTTCCTCAACTACCTTTTTTCCCAAAGACGCTGGAGTGTGCCTCCACGTCCATGTGATGGTCAGTGTTGCAAGTGTTGGTTGTATGTCGTGAGATACTGACATGAAACTGAGGCAGGAGCAAATGTCCAGACTTTTAGTTGACTTAAACTTGACAAAAAAAATAGGATAAAGTTGACTTAGACAAAGACTAAAATTTAATAATAAGCAGTTGACAAAATTAACACTAGTTTAAAAGAGTAACAGATGAAAAGTTCATGAGATTTGTGAGGAGTCTTTGGCGATTAGACCCCATCATGATGTCATTGTTGTACAGGGGTAGTCTGGTGATGTGGGTGGAAGTGGGTCACGATCATCTTATACTGAAATTTTATGAAATGATGGCTGTAGCTGTCAAATACATGCAGTGGACTAAGAACTATAACATTTTCCTGTTAAAAGAAGAGGAGTATAAAACAGCAGCAAATTGAAGTACTGGGATTTAAAGGGACAGTTCAGCCCAAATCAGAATACATATTTTTCTTCTTACCTGTAGTGGTATTTATCAATCTAGACTGTTTTGGCATGAGTTGCTGAGTGTTGGAGATTGACCATAGAGATGTCTGCCTTCACTTGAATATAATGGAACTACATGGCACTCAGCTTGTGGTGCTCAAAGTGGCAGAAAAATACATTTGAAAACTTCAGCAGCAGTGTGTCTTTCCAGAAATCATGCCCCAATTTCTCAAGATAATCCACAGACCTTTTTGTGAGCAGTTTCATGTAGGAACTATTTTCTCTCTACCGAACTACACTCGCCAACTGTATCACAGTGCAGATGGAAGTGTGTATCTACTGCTAGCTCACCTAGCACCACTGAGCTAGCTAAAATTACAGCTCGGCAAAGAGGACACCAGTAATGTTTACATCTCATGCTATCACAAGCACGAGCCTCTTGTCCATGTGTAGATGCATGCGAGTAACTATAATACTTAAGCTCTTACCAGCAGCCTGGATCAGAGTGGGAGCAGATTGTTCTGCGAGTCTGAAGTTGTCTGAACGGCTCCTTGTCAGCTAAGACAGATTTGCAGGGTCACTGGGTGGTTCAGCCAGTTATTTGCCACGACCACAGACAGATTTAGTTTGAGCTGAGTTTTCAGCTCGGACATTGGATTAAATGCAGTAAACAGAACAAGGACCAAATAACTTTGAGCTCTAGGAACCAAAGTGCTTTAACAAATAACAATCAGCTCAAATCAAATTATTCTGCCTGCAGTGACACAGTAAAATTAGCACATACCAACAAATCAGAAAGAAGATGAGTCGTGGAACGGTTGTTCGTTTGAATGGTCGTCATGGTCTGGATGATCAGAGGATGACGAACTCTGCTTCCTCTGTCTGCTCTTTGCTCTGTACTTGAATTATGCTAAAGAGCTGAGGAGAGAAAGGCAGACAAGTCTCCAGCTGACAGGAGAAAACTGGAAACACTTTGCTTGGAATTCAAACACTGATTTTGAATTAGCTAATCGAGAGTGACAGTCCAATGAATTTTGAATTAGTTCTCAAAGCTCTTCAAGAGAAGTTTAGACTGAAGCCCTTTCATCGAATCAGTTTAATCAGTAAAAATAAAAACAATTGCATATTTAAGTTATAAGACCAAAAGTGAAAGAGATGTTCAGTCTGTAAGCACTGTTGTGCAGATAACAGAAATACATTTCACAGTAAAATTCCTGTCCAGGCCTCCCTGTAGTCCTGTGGGGTTTCCTCCAGTTTCCTCCCACATTCCAAAGACATATAAACTAGGTGGACTGGAGACTCCAGATCACCCACAGGTGTGGATCTGTCTTTACTCTGTGATGGTCTGGCGAGCTGTCAAAGGGTGTCTCCCTTCTTTCCACCCAGGGATGGGACAGATTCCAAACTCTCATACCTCTGGAAAGTGAAGTGGGTAAAGATAATGGACGGCTTCCACTAAGAAACCACATTAATAAGAAGTCTCTGATGTGCATTAGAACAGCTGCTATTGGTTTATTAGAAGTTGCTAAAGTCTACAAGAGGTGGTGATTGGATATTTTGATTCACGTGGTGTAAAATGACCTTTTTAAAATAGATCTGAAAAGTAAAGCCAATGGGGAAGTGCCGTAAGCCTGCATTCTTTCAAGTGGTCAGCAGAGGACGACTCCACTGGTAGGAAAAAGAAGTCTGGTCACATGTACGTCAATGAGAAAATTACCCTACTTCTTGCTTGATTTATTACCTCGGTAGAGGGATGAAGACATTTTCCCACTGGTTAATAAACTCGTGACTACACGAGACATTTTACAAGACTCTTACTAATTTAGCATAGCGTCAGTTCAGGCCGGACACAATGTCAAGCTCAGCTCACATCCCAGCTACATCAGCTGATCTCGAACAGCCCAATCAACTGATGGATCAGCTGACTGATGGAAGGGAGTCAGCTGATAGATCACATGATTCCTTTCTATGCAACCAATTGGCAAATCTCGTTCAGGGCGCCCTATTTAAACTGCTCTGGCCTGCCTACTGTTGCTGCTTTCTCTGCAAGCCAGAGGGAGGGGATCCTTACTGCTGCTCTCCCTGCCTTAGGCTTTCCATGTAGGCACGTGGAAGGGCAGAGAGGTGTGCTCTCCCTGCCTAAAGGCTTTCCAAGTAGGTGCATGGAAGAGGCTTTCTGTGCAGGCCTAGGAAAAGCAGAGAGGCCCCAGAACAGAGCCATGCCGCCAAATGTAGTACTGCAAATGAAAAGTGGTTGATTAAAGTGGTCCTGACTGAACTGCCACTTTGTGCTAGGACTCTGTGTCTGTTGCTGTATGGTTCAGACACTTTCATTTTATAATTGTAGCATCCTTGTCTGACTAGGTACTAATTTCAAAAAAGCAAAACCACAGAGGGCAGGTAATCAAATGGATGTATGCCCAAACGTTGTGTAACACTGGCAACACCAAATACAGCAGCAAGCCTACCTCAGTAAACATTTTCCTAATGAGTTGATAGTCCCAATCATTAGTTTCAAGTCTCCTTCAATACAGTGTAATGTTCATTTTGTAAATTGTGCTCCCATTTAGAGTAAAATCGACAAAGCAGGATATGCTTCAGGGCGTGGCTACCTTGTGATTGACAAATGACTACCATGGCAGTGCCCTTGGGTTCTCAGTCAGATCCACCGCTTCCTTCTCCAAAGCTCCACTTTCACGGTAAAATACGGTCACTTCTGGCTTCAAAATACCAAGAGAACCAAAATGCCGAACACAAGGCTTCAAAATGGGAGTCCACAAACAATCAAGTGATGTCACAGTGGCTATGTCCCCTTATTTTATAAAGTCCATGCTTTTTATAAAGCCAAATGAATAAACAAATATGGGTCTAAAAACATGTTCAGAGTCCTACTGAATAAAGCTCAAGGCTGCTCATTGACTTTGCAGCAATAAATCTCTTGAAGCTCTTTCAGATATATTTGTATCCAGATTAAAATAGATGTCTGTTTTCACAGAGGTAAAATAAGTTAAAATCCTCTGTTTGTCTCAGTATTGCAGTGCTTATTTGGCATGCGAGCAATGTCAGTCTCTAACCACGCAGACACCAGAGTGTCTATCAGTGACTGCCTGTCTTTTTGTGTGTGTGTGTGTGTGTGTGTGTGTGTGTGTTTTACTGCGCACATTCATGTTTGTGTGAGTATTTAGGATGTATCTTTTTAAGCTGGAATTGTCTGACAGTAATCCACTTTGGTTGTGTAAGCTTTCATCTTTAATTGAAGCATTATCCGTGTTTCTGCATCTTATCAGGCCATTGTCTGCCTCTCGATGCTTTGCTTTGGAATAATTAATTCCCTCATGGATGGTTTTCAGACCCCTGCAATAATAACATTACTGTAGAATACATTGAGAACACTTCAGAGTGCCCCTAAACCTCAATAACGTGATGCTACAGATGAGACACATAGAAGGGCAGGTTTGTTTCAGTGTGTTTATTTTTTTTTTGCTAGTGTCTCTTTACAATGTGACTTTCTTCAGACAAGAGGCCACTTGAACAGGATACACGGCTGCTGAAGAGCTGCGATGGGGTTGAACCTGCTGCTCTCTGCATAATTTTGTACACTTAATCTTCCTTTGTTGACTGACACGCCGTCTTCTGTGCCATTTCTTTGTCCCGCAGCTACCTGAAGCGTTTCAAGGTGATGAAAATCAAGGTCCTGCGTTCCTGGTGCAGACAGATCCTCAAAGGCCTTCACTTTCTGCACACCAGAGCCCCGCCCATTATTCACAGGGACCTGAAATGCGACAACATCTTCATCACGGGGCCCACGGGCTCGGTGAAGATAGGGGACCTGGGTTTAGCCACACTTAAGAGGGCTTCCTTTGCCAAGAGTGTCATAGGTAGGAAAAGCATGTACAGTGCACAGTCACCGAAGACGCAAATTACTTATCTCTTGCATGAACACACACCAGCCTTTCCTCAGACGTAAAGCTGTTTACCAGAATGAAATGTTTAGATCTGTGAAGGTGGAGAAAGTGAAACAACTGACATCATTTATGTGAGTTTGTCGTAACAATAAGCACTTGACATACACGTCCACACAGGCTGTCACGTATAACCGAACCTACACTCTACACACGCCTACTGTAGATTAATTTTACTGCTCCTAAAATGTCTGGTTGTAAAAGCAAACCGCAGGTATTTTGAAATGTGAAATACACACCACTCAGTCTGTTATTAAGCTGGGATTAAGCTGTCTGGAGATGTGATGGCTGCATACACACAGCAGAGAATACACCCCCAAACACACAGCCTGCACATAACACACACTTAAACTCAAGTTGAGTAAAAAGTGCCTGCTGCGCTCGCTATAATGACTTGGCTGCTTTTCAGTTGCATAGTCAACCACAGATATTCTGGTATTCGTATTCGCGCACAAGTACATTATTGTGCATATTCTCATGCACTCCAGGCGAGAATGATAGGCTTTGTAACTCTCACAGCTGCACTGTAGTAATTAGACAGACCTCAAGTATTTGGACACTTGCAGAAATCCACAAACACACACGCACATACGCATGAATGTGCACGAACACAACAAGACTAGTATGTGGTGCCAGTAAGTGAGTTTGTTATTTAAGATTTCCAGCTGTGTTTTGGGAATTTTTATGATTTAAGTCCTTGACTTACCATAAACCATTTTAGTATGTTACTTAAAGGGTCACCAGTGTTTTTCAACCTTGACCCTGTTTTCCATGTTTTGGTGTCTAAATGTCTAATTGGAGCAACAATTTTTGAAACAGGCTTCAATGTAATCACTCAGGGCATGTGTGCGCCGTCAGTTTATGAGGCTAAACGTGCTGTGTTTTTGCCACTGACAGGCTCTGATTATCATTTTAAGTGTCTGACAACGTTATGGAAAGGATCCTTACAGAGACAGACCTTTTTGTTAAAGAGTAAGATCCTTGTTGTTTTACCAGAAACAGCTGAAAGCATCAAAATCGCTATCGCCAAACCCACCCGACGTTAATAAACAGTAATTTTATAATCATAAAACACATTTCAAAGTCCTCAGAAACAAAATGAAACTCATAGAAGCCATCTTGCTTTGTCTTTCCACTGTTCCAACATTCACCAGCTCTGGTTTGATTTGAATTAACCTTGTCAGATTTGAAAAATGCGCTGGCTCTATACACGCTAAAATAACTGTTTAATGTGGAGTCCTGTTGGTAAGGCCATGGTGAATGTAGGGATGTTTCTGGTTAAACCAGGGGAAGGCAATCTGCGGCTCAGGAACTTTTGGGGCTGTACACATGCTGCGTTTTTTGTGCCTTCAAATTCATTGTTTTCAATGTAGACGCATGACAGGTGCGCTCAAACACCAGAGTGACGCCATCGTGGCACACACTAGTTCCCATTTTTCAGGGCGCGATGGCTGCACTTTGAGATAAACCGAGTTCAACCTTTTGAACGCAGCAGCGCACACCGCGAGTCATGTGACAAGGAACACCCAATCACAGCCGACAGATATTGCACATTCTCCAATTGTAACAATGTGTAGCCTACACACTGAATTAAAAATTGAAGTTTTAACATTTCCTCACCTAAAATATGCATCATATGTCTGTGGTCTGGCACCTTTCCCCTTTCCTCTAAATTTTTGCCAAAATCGAAACCAGTGACTAGTTTTGAGCCTCCCTAGCTAGGCTAGCAATGGCTTCCAAATCCATAAAAGTAAAATTCTCAGAGGAAAATACAGCATTTAATAGCACTTGGACAGATTTGTTTGCTGTCACTGCCGAGGCTGCAATGTTAAAGTACCAAATAATCATAAATATTTCACTGCAGAGTGCAATATGCAACATGCTTTACAATCTTGTGGTAGAACATGTTTTTAATGCTCATGTAGACTTATTTTTAAGGTCAGTAGGCTAATTTAGACTTAATACGCAGTGTTGCCAGAAGGCTCAAATATGGTTTGTGGCTCAAGGAAAATTAATTAGGGCCCGAGCAGGAGACCTGCGAGGTCCCTATTGTTTTTCTCCCGATTATTTATATATATTTTTTTTTTTTTCTTCCGCCCATATGATCGCATTTTTCACTGCCTGAACATACCCCAAAACTCACCAAACTTGGAATATATGTCACACCTGGCGAAAAATTTTCTAATCTATTGTCGTCCTGAATTTCCACGGTGGCGCTATTATTAAGGAAAGTGCGTTTTGGCTCATAACTCCCATATACTTTGTTGCACATTCAAAAACCTTATATCCACGCATTCAGTGAATTGTGCTGAATCTCGTGGTATAGGCCACGCCTATTTCCGCCTATAGTTTTTTTTTTTTTTTTCCGCAAATTCGCAAAATGTCACAATGATGACCACAAGGCGGCGCTCTTTAAATTGAAGTATTTTATATTTCAACATCGGTTGGGCGGATTAACACGAAACTTGGTAGAATTATTGTCAATGCCCTCCTGAGGATATCTGACGAAGGACTTACCGATCCGCCACTAGGTGGCGCTCTGGTGGCCATCTAATATTTGGCACTGTGCCAACACCATAACACTCATGGAAATAAAATTGATAGGGGTGGTATAGACTGGCCCCTGTAACTCGTACACCAAAAATGACCAGCAGGTGGCGCTATTTTCAATGCAAAAGCGTTTTTGGATAATAACTCCCACATAATATGTCGCACATTGTTAAACCTTCTATTTACGTGTTCTCTGAATTCAGCTGAATTGTGTGGTGTAAGCCACGCCCACTTTCGCGGTAACTTTCCAATCGCTAAATCGTGACAAATGAAAAACGTACTTTTTCGAACTCTTCCTAGGCGATTTGACTGATATGCACCAAACTTTGCATGTAGCATCTGTCAACCCTCCTGACAAAAAGTTATTAAAAGAATTTTGATCGTCCAAAAAACGGCCAAAATATAAAACAACAAATTCCTGCACATTGTTTTCAAAACAGACAGTCTTTCATACACTTTTGCTAATTGTGTTCCATGGCCCGATGAGGGTTTTATGCAAAATTTGGTGCAAATCGGCCAATAGGTGGCGCTCTGATGGCAGTCTAATTAGTGTGAATGGAAGTAAATTGGAAAATCTTCAAATCCTCTTCAAAACTCATGGACTTTCAACCTCTTCTTGTCCCTCATACTTTGAGCTAGAGACACCATGTCAACTTTTAAAGAGTCAGAAGACCTTGAACTATTGGGCATGTATTCAGCTTCTACTTTTTGGAAAAATACATACGTGGGTTGGGTGCCTACCTGTATACTGGAAATGTAAGTAAGAGATAACGTTTATTTTTTTATTTTTTACGCCGGATTTCCACTGGATGCGTGTCCGTTGCAGAACGGCAGCGCTGGTTATCCGCTGCACGCTCCGCCGTCCGTCAATACCCACCGGCTGCGTTTGCTGTGCGGTGCAGCTCCGCCGGAAGACATCTCGGTGCACTGCCATGATTAATATCTCCTCTTCCATGGTGTTCACGGGGTGAAATGACGTCTGAAAACCTCTGACCTGTTGACTTCAGGCCTGCCTCTGCCCATTATGTTGTTTTTAAGGTGTAGTGCAGGGAAATATGATCCGCCGTGAACACTATGTACTTTATTTTGAAAATTAACCGGATGTTTTATTGTGTTTCTGTGCACAACTTCCTGCCCCGTACGATCTGCTCTGTGCTGAATTGCTGCATTGTGCTCCTGCGTCCGGCAAAAATAGAAGTCCTGCGTATCTGTTGCGGAGGGCTCCGGAGTGCCTGAGCTGAGACGGAGCCGGAACGCAGCACAGCCGCAGCTGGTGGAAACACACACATTGACTAGAATGGAATCCTATCGGCTCCGCTGCCGTGCCGGAGCGCAGACGCAACCAACACGCATCTGGTGGAAATTGGCCTTTACAGCTGACAAGACTTCTAGGTGCACGCCCCCCGACGGCAGCATGCCCCGACGTGTTTGAACTGCAAGGGCCCGTTCATCGCTGCTTGCAGCTTTAATTTTTTTTAATCAGTAACACTGCTGAACCCTGGGTTGAACAAATAGGATGTTGCGCAACCAAAAAGGCCTCTTTTTGTAGGGATCCTCTCTATCATGTTGTCAGACACTTACATTAACAATCTGAGCCTGTCAATGGCAAAAAATAAGCACTTTTAAACATACCCCAAGTGGTAACATTGCAGCCTGTTTCACAGTTCACTTAGTCACAAAAATATGGGAGAATATTGTCCAGGTTAAAAGAATACCAAACTGACCCTTTAACCAACTGAGCCAGTGTTTTTTTTAGGTCTGACTGAGAGATCTAAAACTCCAGCACAATGCAACAGTTCACTGTTTTTCCTCTCCCTCTCACCAGGAACCCCAGAGTTTATGGCTCCAGAGATGTATGAGGAGAAGTACGATGAATCCGTTGACGTCTACGCCTTCGGGATGTGCATGCTGGAGATGGCAACCTCAGAGTACCCCTACTCTGAATGTCAAAATGCTGCCCAGATCTACAGGAGGGTTACTAGTGTAAGAGTGCATTTCCTCTACATTACAAGTATTTGTTTTGAACGCCTCCGCTGTGAATGACTGTGTTGTGACATTCATGTGTTGCATCTAACAGCCCTGTTTGTCTCTAATCTCCACCCTCCTCCGTGCGGCTCTCTCTGCCACTCCCTCCATACTTGTTTACTGACTGTATTAACAAGTTTGGCATGAGCTGCCGGAGATCCAGTCAGATGACTGTGTTTTTGCATTCATTAGTCTCTCGCTTGTTCTCTCTCTGCCAGCCTCTTTCTCCTGCAAATGTTAAAAGGAAAACAGTAGCACCATGGGAAGATTTGTTTTCCTTTAGCTGCATTTTTTTCTCCACCACTAGAGAGCAATACCAAGCAAGCTATTGCATATAAAGGCAAAACAAATTAAAGACCTGAAAACCCTCGAGGAATGTTGTTGTGTCCGTATTGAGCAAGACATTTAAACCCTGAAGCTCGTCTGAGAGAAAGTGAATGCAGAGAACTGTGAGACATGTATGAGGGAAATGCCATGAATGAAATATGACAGGAAGAACACTCCTGCATCACTTCATTCGATTTTAAATGCACTCGCTTTTCATTCACTTTCAGTTTTGTAACATTTTCAAGCTTTGCATTAAATGTAGATGACAGTTGGCTGGAAACAAAAAAAAAAAAAAAAGGAAAAAACGAGACAGAGACCAAAACACAGACGGAGAGCGGACAACAGATGCAATCAGAGGCTGTTTTAAGTTGAGTGCTGCTGAGGTCATCACCCCAACACACACACACACACACACACACACACACACACACACACGCACACACACACACACACACACACACACACAGGCAGATGAGAGCTGTCTCCCTCCTTTCCTCACGGGACTGAGTTCAGCTTTGTGGAGGCTGACAGTGATGTTAATGGACCAGAGGAATTTACTAGAAATCTCTCTTTCTCTTCATCCCTCTCTGTCCTCCTCCTCTAGTGCCTCCATTATCGCTCTCTGCTTCTATCTGTCTCAACACATCTTTTATTTTAGCTTAATTGGAAACATAAAACAATTCCTACGTTGCCGAAGCATCAGTGCAAATCAGAAAGGGTGCTCAAGCATATGTGTGCGCACTTTTACAAACATAAATCAGTACTTTTCTTTGCAAAAACTACCACTGTTATCCCTTAGTATTTGTCTGGTACAGGAATGCAGTGCTGTTTGTCGTTTTTGGATGAGTGCAACATCCCCCTCAGCTAAAACAAGTGCTTCTGTTACAGCTCTAACATTAAATTTTAATGGTAACTTTAGACACACACTCACAGCAGTTTCCTTAAATGTGTGTACCAAAAATAAAAACTGATGTGTTCCATTTTCTGTTGCACTTACAGTATTTGTGATAATTATAGCCAGATAAAGCCTGCAAGAGTACTCGTGACTTGTCCAGCTACAGGGTCCGGATTTCTCCTTAGTCATTAGTTCAAGGTCCACACAGTGTAATACATTAAAGGAGAAGTCCGGTATTTTGCACTTTGAGCCCCATTTCTGGGTTGTTTATGATGAAATAGAGTGGCTAAGACCAAAATTTTGACTATTGCTCCTTTTCGGAGAATTTGGCTTTCCCCTCCCTGGCTTAACAGTGCTGCCAATGGCCATGTGTGAACCTGTCCTAAAACCACCCTAAATGTTCATGAAACTCACCGAGTGGTCAGTGGTGTTCGTTGATGTTCTGACATAAAAATTGTAGCAAACTGTGGTTTCCGTGATGATTTATTTGACAGTTTGTGTAATCCATTGGTTTTCTATCAAAGCCTCATTGTCCGTTGGTAGTAATGCTCACCGGAAACGGAAAGGGGGTTGTTTACGACAAGGTTGTAGTCATTGTAGTCTTTTAGCTCAGCGAAAGTGCCAGCTCGACACTGCTGTGTGCACTCCTGGAGGAAGAACGAGAACGAATGTAAAAGTTAGTTTAAACAACTGCACAATGGATTACTCGCTTGTAAACAACCTTCGCAGTACGATGCCTTTGATCACAACACCAACCTTCTTCTTCTGCTTCTTTTCTTTGTCCCATCACATTGCAATGGTTTCCTGCCAGTTGGCAACACCCACATAAAGGAGCATTATCGCCATCATGTGGGCTGGAGTGTATAACGTCTCAGGGTCAAACAAACAATCAAGCGGAAGTTTACACACGGGTGTGAGGCAGCTGAAAAAATAGTTCCACAACTGAGATGAATAGCGAAACCACGGATGGAAACCACAGTTTGCTACAATTTTTATGTCAGAACATCAACGAACACCACTGACCACTCTTTGAAAACAAACATTTAAGGTGGTTTTAGGACAGGTTCACACATGGCCATAGGCAGCACTGTTAAGCCAGGCAGGGGCAAACCAAATCTCAGAAAATGAGCAATTGTCACTATTTTGGTCTTAGCCACTCTATTGCATCATAAACAACCCAGAAATGGGGCTCAAAGTGCAAAATACCGGACTTCTCCTTTAAGTGTCATACTTGTGTTTGGCCATGATGTCAAGCTAGTTTGCTGTCTCTCTTAAGTAGCTGTCAGATAGTCACTCATTCTACAGGAGAAAATAGCACTTCAAAATAAAAGCTCTGTACTGGAAATGTACTGTACCTAAAAAAATAAAGTGGTTTTTTTTTTTTTTTTTTCCTTTTTTGCCAACTTGACACGTTTGGGAACCACTGATTTAAATGTTTGTGGTTACTTGTACATGCTTTAATTTATCTTTAGATGTTCAGTTCAGCAATGGAATTTATCAGGGCTGCCCCCTGAAAGTTGAAGATCTGAGTCATAAGTCGTAGACCCCTCAGTCGACTGAAATACTGAAGTGAAGGTTTATTTTTGTCTTCTTTTTGTCAGTCACTGGACAGTATGCTTCTGGGCATATTTTGGTCCCCAGGTTTAGCAGCAGAGTGAGCACTCTTTGCTTTCATGTTGTTCTTTGATAGAGGTAACTGGGGATCCAGAACCAGGGTGTCAGCCGATATACATGGGGCACAGAAGTGCGGCTTCTGTGTGGTCACACTGCCATTATTTCCCATGTATTTTGGTTGTTAGAAGTGGTGAAGCTCACATTAATATGTTAATATGATACAGTCTCTGGCTTTTGTTTGATGTCTAGTGTTAGGCGACAGTGGCTCAGGAGGTGGAGCAGGTCGTCCACCAATCGGAGGGCCGGCGGTTCTATCCTTGGCTCCTTCAGTTCACATGTCGAAGTGTCCTTGAGCATGATACTGAACCCCAAATTGCTCCCAATGGCTGTTCCATCAGCGTATGAATGTGTGTGTGAATGGGTGAATGTGACTCCAGTGTTTCCCACAGGATTTTGGGAAACTGTGGGGGGGGGGGGGGGAATGTTATTACTATCCTAAAACATTCTCCAGGTCCTCTGAAACTCTGCAGGACTTATTTCCACCCTGCCCAGCAGCAGTACTGTGGCGAACGGTCCCTAACTGCAGGGAGAATGGAGCAGGCTTCCCCGGAGGTCCGCCGCTTTTCCCGGTCCCTCTTCTCCACACTCTGGGCTCTAGTTTCACAGACCGGGCGAGGCGGGGGCGCAGCGCACCTGCGCTTCGCCAACTGGGTGTGGCCAGGCGGATTTTGCAAGTTTGGCACACCGTGCGCGCTGGCGCAGCTACTCGTCTGTCCCACCTCCGTCCCTCCTACCTGCGCAAGTCGGAAAGAGGGAGGAGAGAAGGCGTGGAGTGGGTTTTACACACATCACACCAATCAAATGAGCCCCTCTCCTCGCCCTTAAATGCACCGCGCGAAGGCGTAATGAGAGTTTACTCAATTCGCCATGGCAGAAGAGAGCAGCAGTGTCAGACGGCCAAACTTCTCCCAGGAGGAAACTGATGTTTTGGTCCCGGAGGTCTGCTCGCAGTGTACGAATATACGGAACTGCGAGCAGACCTCCACGGGCTGATGATGCAAAGGTAGCCTGGGAGGAGGTCACCACAATTGTAAATCAATGATGCGTTTCTCTCTCTCTTTCTCTCTCGCAGTCTCACTCTGTTTCTTTTCTTTTGGCTTTTCTAAGATGATGATGGCTTTTCTATCTGATGCTGTGGCTGCTTGTGGTTGGCTGAGAGGGATGTGAACTCATTAGTTTGCAGCTGTTTAATCAAATCAGGTTGGGTTTCCATTACGCGTGCCAAACGTGCCAAACGTGCCAATCCCCTTTGATCTGACATCAGATGTGACGGGACAGTCGATATAGAGATACATTTATGTGCTGATTGCAGATAGTTGCATTGAATAGTGATTTTGCGGCTATTTATTGCATCGTTAATGTGCCTGACATTCTGGAAACCTGCCTGTGAGGTTGTGGTGACGTGTGCGCACTGTCCGCCGGTCAGCCAAACTTCGGCTTACACCGGCTGCGCTCCGCCTGCGCTGACAGTAGACCTGGTTTCAGATGGCGAGCTTTTAGCGCACCTTTCGGCGAAGCCTTTTGGCACGAAACTGTCAGTGCGCCAAGCTGGATCTGTCGACACCTCCCCCTGCTGCGCCACCACACCCATCTCAGTGCACCTCGGTCTGCCAAACTACCAAACTGAGCGCGCCTTGGGTTGCGCTGCTCGAAACTAGCTCTGCGCGGGGTTCGCCACCCTGTGCTGCGCCGGGAAACTAGAGCCCTTTGACTTATTTCCACCCAGCCGACAGTGGGACTTATATTCATTGTGCCGACTGTGGCTTGGAAAACCGCCCATAACCGTGTCACACGGGGAAGAGGGAAGAGGGAAGGTGGCTGGAGTTCCTCCAACATTTGTGGTTAGATTATCATATTTTTTTATTGACAAAAATATAGGCTGCTTCGGCTGATTTTTTTTTATGCGCACATGTGCCCCTAAATATTTTTTACAGTTTGCACACACCTATTTTTAGTCGAGTGAACGCTCCCACTGTGGAGCGCTGGATCTGACAGCCTGAGCACATCGGCACAAAACGCTACGGCGTTCGAGATATTATTTATATCATGAGAAGTCAATACT